CTATGGACACTACTAATCCCATTGTAGCAAGCATACACTGGCTTCCTTGCACATGGAGCATAACTGAACCTGGCAGCTTGAAGTGCTGAGTTCACAGAGACCTTCAAATTGGGCATGAAATGGATTTTGCAGTGTTCGTCTAACACACTTGCCTAGCTCTTCCTAGCAAATTATTGATGTGCATCCTATTGAAGGTGGGGTTTTTAAAAATAATTATGATGAGCATGACACATGTTTTGGAGCAACTCCTCCGTTCAACAGTGCCACAGTTTGTTGACTAGAAGCTAGGCATTTCTGCCTTTTTGTCTTATGACACTGCAGTTTTCTCAGAAGCGCTGTGTCATGGGACAACTTGCAGAGTCATGTTTTGCTCCACAACTTCTGGCCTGCTGAGTCAATAAAAGAAGGGTGGGTTACCATACATCTTCAGTGGCATTTCTTATCTCCAGGCTGCAGCTGAAGTTGACAAAGAGCTGCAAACTTCATGCTGCCCTCTGTAGAGAGCAGTTGAGAAGTACAACTTTAGAAAGCAAATATTTCAGAATTTAAAAATGTATGTTGTGAAAGGACATTAATGCCAAGATTTGAGGAGCTGCTTAAGCTCAGACTAGTTCAGTGGAACTCTTGCTTCTTTTCCTTTCTGCAGGACCATTTTCCATCTCATGTCCCAAACCAGAAGGCTTTTGAAATGCCTCACATTAGTGTGGGGGAATCAGAAGGGAAAAGGTACACAGCCCAAATCTTTATCTCCTCTACCACTGTAGAGCTAAACAAAAAATTATATGGGAGATTCCAGAACCATTCAAGCATATGGAGTGGTACACTCTCATACTCACATGAGTTTAGCCACAACCATCACCACCCACATAAGAGAGAGGTATGAGAAGACCTGAAGAAACCATGAGGCTTGCAGTGGTACAAAAAGTCTAAAGAAAAAGCCTAAGTGGGGGGCAGGGGGAACCCCCAACAGCCCCATGATAAGTCACTGACATGGAATATTGACAAACAGAGGAAAAAATAACAGTAGTATGGGATGACTCAACAAGGCAAAGGGTGGGGGGGCATCAAGTGATAAAAACTGTAGACAGAATAATTTAATTGCCTGGATAGGTAACTTCCTGGCCCTAGGAATGGACACAAGAGCTATCAAAAGGCATCAATGAAAAAATCCAAGATTTTAATGTAGCCCATGAATGCCCACATGACTCTCACCAAAAACTACCCCCAAATTAAAATAAAACCTAAAGAGAGGGAAACACAAACAAGGATGGAGCAAGCTCAGTGGGAAAGGAATGTCAAATGCCAATTGGAGAGGGGATAAAAAGGAAACCAAGTGACTGGAACCATGAACAGAAGCACCCCACATGGCAACATTTTGTTGCAGGGTCCCATTTGTACTAAATTAGTGTAATTTACTTCTATCACAAGAACATAGAGGTTCCTAGACTCCCAAGGTGGGATTCTGCAAAGTAGAATTCTAACCCTCTTGGAACAAGTTTCTGGAAGAAAATCTGCTTCATGGTTTCCCACAACAGAATGGGACATCCTGCACTAAGATCTCACAAGCCCCATTCCAAGAGCAGGAAGGCACTGTACAAGAAACGACTGCTTAAGTCCATATATTTTAATTTACAAAGAAACAAGACAGACAGTATATGCATAAGCATTGCCATTTGTAATAGGATGACATCCTCTTTGTGGTCTGTTCCTCAGTCCTTTTGAGCTGTGAGAAGTGCTTGAGAATCTTTCCCATCTGGACACTCACCCTATGATGAGAGGTCCTAATTGCTCTTTTGGTTCTTGGAAGGACCATCTTGCGCCTTCACAACAGAAACAATGCTTTGACCGAGAGATGACTCTAGGTTGGTTTGGATGTTGCAACAGCAGTAGCACATCCATTGGTTTAGCTCGCGTAAGATTTAGAGGCCCTCTTCCACGTGGGAGGAAGAAGCCATTAACAGTAGTCCTTACTACCCAAATGTGTTTTCTAGTCCTAGCTGGGCAACAAGTAAATGGCAAGGACATGCATACTTGAGTCCATCCATGCAGTAGTGAGTCTGTAAACATTACAGAACTTTAGTGGGATGAACCAATGAGGAAAGGGGGATCTGCACGAATGCTGCCACACCTATCAGGCACCCAGCAGATCTGTAGGTATCACTACACTGGGGTGTGCAACTTAGAATCATAGACTCATAAAATAGTAGAGTTGGAAAGGGCCATGAAAGCCACTGGGTCCAACCCCCTGCTGTTGCAGGACACCACATTACACCATCCCACTCAGATGGCTGTCCAGTTTCTTTTTGAATGTCTCTACTGTGGGAGACCCCACCACCCCTCTAGGCAGCTGGTTCCACTGTTGTATTGCTCTGACAGGGAGAGGCTTTTCCTGATGTCCAGCCTGAATCTGGGTTGCCACAACTTGAATTGATTATTCTGTGTCCTACACTCTGTCATCAGCAAGAAGAGTTCTTGACCTTCTTTGCGACAGCCTGTGAGGTACTTAGAGGGATACCATGTCCCCCCTCACTCTTCTCTTCTTAGCTTGTGGCCCTTTACATGTTTTGACCTAGAACTCCCGTCAGTCTGTGCTACTAGCTATGCTAGCTACAGAACCTGGTTACCAAAACTTCTGGAGAGCCACACTCTGCCCCCCTCTGATTTAAACTCAGCCAGGAAATTAACACACACACCCTACACATACTAGTAAACAGCAGAGGGTCTTTCCCATCCTTTGCAACATGCAACTTTGCTCATTTACATGACTCATTTGGAAATCTGTTGTTGTAATACATGTACTTTTGGGGGGAAATTCATAGATCAAGAGTAATGCACATGCTTTGTACTTTAAGGTTTCCGGTTCAGTTTCTTGCATCTCCACTTCCAAAGAGGTCAGATAGCAAAAGTTTGCTCAAATGGTGCCCTGCACACACTTTGCATTATCACTAACAGGGCCATATAGCAAGGGCTTCTATTAATCAGCACATTCCTCCTTGCTATGCATGGAGCTCAAGGCAGGCCATCTTTTTCTAGCTACCAAGGTTTTACCGAGAAAACTCAGATAGTGCAAAGATGTGGTCACAACCCCTCAACCACTGCTACCTAGCTACAGGCTTCTACTGCAGTTTATTTCGTGTAAGAGCAACTGAGTCAGCACCCTTTCTAGTAAAAGCATTTCTTACTAGAAGGAAGGGTAGCCCCTAGCTGGGGAGGTTCAAACCTCAGATGTCTACAACAATCAGTGCTAGGTTAAGGATTCCGCAAAGGTGGCTTCAGAAAGCATTCCAGCTATGTAGGAGAATCACATAATCCCCCACCTTTTGGGATGCAAACAACTCCCCAGTATTGACAAAGCACCATCAAGGCATATGATAATGTACATGGAACATAGCCATCATCAGCCTTGATGAACTTACAGCCTAGGTTTTGAATAGACAGTTGCTGAGAAAGCAGGAAACAGACAGAAGAAGAATGTATGAGAGCAGAATTGTACAAACTTAGGTGCACTTTCTAAAGGGGGGAAAGATGAAATCGTTAAGCCCAAGGCTTTACGAGAAAGATGTATTTTGAAGAAGGAAGTGGAATCACACTGATGTTTTAGAAAGACTTTCCAGGACTACAGGAACTACTAAATCCAGAGACCGTTACTCAGTGCGCATCCTTTCCGATTTTTCTGCAGTCTGAGGCAGCAGCTTGATTGATTTTGTGCCCTGAGCCTCTGCAATTCTACACCCGTGGTTCTCTTCCTATCTAATCACTCTTGGTGTCTCCACAAGGGAACACTCTTCCTCTGTGATCTTTCTTCATTTGGATTCTTCAGGGCTCTGCTCATGTAACGAGATGCTTAATTCTGCCCAACCACCATTTAAATCAGCCTTCCAAGATCTGCTGCCCTCTGGATGTGCTGGATGGCAGGTGGGTGGGGATGATGGAAATGCAGTCCAACACATCCAGAGGGCAGCAGGTTGGAGAAGGCTGGTCTAAACTATTGGGGTTTTAGATGCCAGATTCTTTTGCTTGCTCTCAGCACCTCATCCCATTCCAGTCCAGTGCCAGTTCACCCTGCAGGGCCCTCACCCAGTAGCCTCTGCAGACCCACCCACCCCATCTTCCAATGTGGCAGATTCATAATTTCCAATCACTTCAAAGTGAAACCTACCAGTCCCTCTAAATGCATCCCTCTGACTGCAGGTGTCTTTCACAGACAGCTATATAATGGCAGAGATTAACTATCAAAACAGCTGTCCGCTATCAATATTGTTATGCTGGAATGCAAGGAGATTTAGCTTTATGGTGCAGGGAACTCAGCAGCCACAAATGTCTTCTAAGGACCAGACAGGATGGAGGCCTGAACTTGCCAGAACAAGAAACAGACTTCAAGGGTGTTTCTGGTGTTCAAATTCCACTCCAGCCCATGACCAAATCCTCACTTCTGGCTGGTAGGCTACCTCAGCCTATGTCAACATGCGGGGAACATGTGGCACTCCAGATGCTGTTGGACTCAAACTTCTACCAGCCAGCATAGCCAATGGCAAAGGATAATGGGTGTTGCAGTCCAGCAACATCTGGAGGGCCCTCCCTTTCCCATGCATAATGTAATCTGAAATGCACTGAAACAAAGATGGGAGAAGAGGAACCAAGGAAAAAGTGAGTAAAAGGTTGCAGTACCCAAGACCTCCAAAGAGAGACACTTCCTGGAGGACGAAGAGGATGCATCCAATGTGCCAGTTGCCAGGCTGAGTCTTCACATGCCTTTACTAGGCATTGGGATTCTCACGCTCCTGCTGCTGGCACCCAAACTAAATACTAGCCATCAAGTCAACAGTTACCTCTTAAACAATGAGATCTAATTTCATGTGTCAATTGCAACACCCCATACTCTACAAATTTTTGGTCTTAACTTTGCATGGCTTCCAAGGAGAAGAGGTGGCAGGCACCACCTCTAGTGCTACCTGCTGCCCAATCTCTAAAAGGAAGACCTGTCAGTAGGCAGGACTTACCCACAGCCCGGAACAAGCAGGCCCCATCTTCCTTCATCTGTTTTATGATGAAACCTTTCTTCTCTCTCAGCGACTTCTCGAACCTGTGTTCCTGCTGGTGACAGGAGGGGCAGATGTCAGCAAGTTAGACAGCATCCCCATCTCACAAACTAGGAAGGGCAACTGATCCTTTCTCTCTAATTCCACACATGACAATCCCACAAAAGGAATCCCAGCTTGAAAATCCACACCAAAGGCACTTTCTAGGTTTGGGGTGACACTGGGGGTGGGGGTTATGCTCATCACCATCACTCAAATAGAAGATGGCTCTGTGATTGTGCAGAGAATGCTGCAGGCAAGCAAGCAAAACCACCTGAAGAATTTGTATGGCACAAAGTATGTCTCCAGCCCTCATGCTTAGAAATACACAGCTGGTCATTTGCCCAGTACTTTAAGAGCAGCACTTTCATGCATGGGTACACACACATGAACGTAGGAATCCTGCAAACCAATTATCCCTTCTCAGTGCTGTTAACCAAATGCATATCAATCAAATCCTGCAACTCTAGCAATGAAGAGTAGCAATTTACTTTATGAAACAGATAGACAAAAGCATGTGTCTGGGGATCCCTGTGCACAAGGACTCAATTCAGGTCAGACTTCATTAAAATAATGAAATCAGGTTCATTTAGTCATCTATGAAATAAATCCCAGAACTATGAATAGTAACACCTATTTCAGGAACACCAGATTAGAACTTCTTTTCAAAGGACTTGCCTGGGAGAAGGCAGCCCACGTGGATCAGGACATCTTAGAAAGCTTACTGTCACCCCCCTTCGGGAGCCTACTCGGTCAGTTAAGAACTTGCTGGACAACTTATGTGAGCTTTCCTTTGGACTCCCTGCTCTTGAGTTTATGCCTCAAATGACAGTGCTGCCATCTTCTGGCAGCAAAGAGAACAGACAAATTTGCCAAGATTTTGCTTCCAGGGTGCACTTTCTCAACAATTTCTACCCTTCAGTGCCACCCAAACCAATATTTTTATACCCAACTGGAATAATCAGGAAAGCCATAGGTTTGTAGAGGTGAAGGCCCATACTTGGGGGCATGAATATGGATTGGAGAAACTGCCCCCAACTTGGTGTCTATTCAGAATGGTTGAACAACTCCCAGCATTCCTAATGATTGGCCATGGTGTCTTGGGCTAAGGGGAGTTTAAAATATCAGGAGGGCACCAGGATGGAGAAGTCTGGGCTACAAAATGTGTGGGATGTTTTTCAAACTTTTGCCACTGAGCATATTCTTCCAATTGTTTTATACAGTGAACCAGGCAACCTTGTTCATTAGGATCACTTGAGAGCATCCAGACAACCGAAGAGCAAGGAGAACAATAAGGGCATCTAGTCCAAGATCAGGCTTTCCCCAGGTCCTCTGCAGACTAGATTGCTGCACAAAGTACCAAGATAGCATAAAGCAGAGTAATAACAATCACTCCCATATTACAGATAGAAGACTGCAACTTAGAGCCCGTGTTTCATCTAAAAGGTCACTTTGGGGTTTCATAGCCAAGGTTCCATCTGAATTGAAAGCTCATTCTCTTAGCTGCTACTTTAGCAACTAGATTCTACCTCCATAGCACCTCTTCCCTTGCAGAAATAGGCAAGCAGACCCAGATTGCTCCTGCATCAGCAGCATCTCTTTTGCCTCTTTGGTGAGGCCATCCCTGCTCTGGATCAGTTTACAGCATTGCACTCAAGTCATCCATTAGTGCCTTACAAAGTGAATATAATCAGAAAGCAGAACAATGTTAGAGCTCAAACAAACTGGCACAGGCCCTTTCACAATAGTTGCACTTATCTTACAAAGGAATCTGTCTACTCACATGGGGGCCGGGGGGAGGATATAGAAGGATGAAGTTCAACAGGTTGCACACTCTCCATACAGGTTATGTGTCACCATGCTGACCACCTCCCTCCCACCCCCATCACATTTAGCAACTTCAGCCATGTGAACTAAAACATGCTTTCTGAAAATCGAAAAAGACCTATGTTTAAAGTAATGTTTCTCTCTCTTCACTGCTATGACAGCTAAAAGGTATTCTTAGAAGATGACACCTGAGACAAAGAAACTCTTTTGTGCCTCACAATTATGACAGCACTATCTCTTCTCTTCCTACCTACCTGGTTTAGGATGTGAATGGGTTTTACAGGCGGAGACAACAGCTGATGTACAGCCTTCCCAACTTATTTTCTCCAAAAACTTCTTAATACAACCTCAGTCATCTCTGGCTTCTACTCATGTTGGCTGTGGCTGAATTCTACTCCAAAACATCTGGAGAGCATCAGGCAAGTTGTAAACTGACCTTATAACTTTGCAAAAATGTATAATATACATCCTGGAGATTTCAGGAGGATTCTGCTACTAAAACATGGCTGTACACTGTGCTAGATGCTGTGCGCAAGTTACAGGGCTTACATTCTATACCTGATGGACAATGTGGGAGCACAGTGACCTGGATACAGCCTACCAAAGTAGGAGATGGTCTAGCAACATAAGGAAGTGCAAAAGATGTGGGGTTGCCTTTATCATCTAAAGTCCACTTTAATTATGTCAAGATGAGAGAACCATAAGCCCAGCCTTGTAAATAAGGTTGCTAGCATGAAAAAAACATGTTGAGGGCTGGCAGAATGAAATGCTAACCCTAACTCTTCCTACACCACCAAACCATTGCATTTCTATGCTAAGGGCGGAGAGATTCACCTCTCTTCTCCAAACGTGCTCATTTATCTGTGTGCAATTTCTTCTCACCTATGGCAACACGGTTATGGCTCAAATGATGTTGCATAAGCCCTTGCTCTGATATGCAAAAAAGAAATCCAATGTCTTGAAACTGCATGTGCAGGGAGAAAAAGAAGGAACTCTTTTTTGCTACTGACTGCTTCCTTTGTGCGGATAGGAACTACTTTAAGATTCATCTTGCTTCCACAACAGAACTTGCTCATCCACTCATACCGCTCCCACTCCTGAGTGAGGCACCACTACAAAACCAGTCAGCAGTTGCTCTAGATGGCTTACTAGGCAGGCACAACACTCTTCTTCCCACCCTCTGACACATAGGCCCAATAATCAGAAAGGCAGTAGAAAAGGACTTTCCCAGAGACTCTAGGTTTACTAAGGATATTTGTTATTGCAATAATATCCAAAGCTAGCCAGACTTCCAAAACATTTTGCAGCAAGCCTCTTACACCACAGCAGGGACCCCTGCACAGTAGGATTCCAATCAGCTGAGTTCAGATAGAAAAAGCAGAACCCCCCTTGAATACAATCTGAACCAGAGCACAACGAAAATGATTAGCTTATATATATTACAGATTTATGGCATTGTAACACATGCATACAACATTCTACATAATTAAACATAGTACCAAAACTATTCCAGTAATCCTATTTACACAGGTGCTAAGAGATAATGAAGGTCAGCAAGTTAGTAAGGAGTATTCCTGTCTGGATGGCCAAGGTTCCATCTCTGTCTGACATCAAAACAGGGGCTCATGACTGCTTTCACCTGCAGAAGCAAATGCTGATAAGGAATGTTCAAGGCTGACGATGTGCCATATACATGTTCCTTGTGTCATTGTGATCTCTTAATATCAGAAGGAGAAACTCCTTAGTTCTGTGAAATGCCAACTAAAGCTCTATGGTACTACTGTTAGCAACTAGACTTTAATGACAAGCCAAGCAAGCATTTTAAGGAGCTAGACATCCAGGTCTGGCTTGTTAGGGTTCAAGCCCGTTACATAAACAGAAAACCCTCCCCCTTGTTGCCATCCTCTGAGCCTCCCTCAGAGTTGGCACTCAGGTGAAGGGCCCAGTTGTTCAGTCCAGGTAGACTGTAGTTGGGAGAGGTATACCAACAAGTACTGTGGTCCCAAGCTGTGTAAGACCATACAGTTAAAACCAGCACCTTGAATTAGGTGAGGATGCATACAGAGCACCAGTGCAAGTGGGCCAGAATGGTCTTATGTGACTGGACCAGCTGGTCCCAATTATTAATCTGGCTGCCATATTCCACATGAGCTGCAGCTTTGAGAGCAGCCCCATGTAAAATACATTGTAGTAATCTAAGTTAGGAATTACCAGGGCACAGATTACTGAAATCAGGCTGTACTTGCCCAGTTAGGGACATAGCTGGCCCACCATCCAAAGCTCATAGAAGGCACTTTGAGCCACTGAGGACACCTGAGCCTCAAGTGTTTAAGATGGATCAAGGAGCACACACGAACTACAAACCTGCTCCTTCAGAAGGAGCGCAACCCTATCTAGAACAGGTTGAGCGCCCTCCATCTAATCAGAGGAACTACTCATCAATAGCATCTCAGCCTTGCCTGGAACAAGCTTCAATTTGTTAGCCCCCATCCAGTCTATTTTCATAGCCAGATACCAGTTTTAGTACATCCACAGCCTCATCTGCTGACAATGAAAAGGAGACATAGAGCTGTGTGTTAAGATACTGAATGCAATACACTCCAGAACTCTGGATAATCTCACAAAGTAGTTTCAAGTCAAATGGCACTGGGGATGGAGCAGACCCCCAAGGAACTCCATGCTGGAGAAATCTGTGAGGTTCAACTCCAAGCACCACCTTCTGGAAATGCTCCTCCAAGTAGGAACAGAACCACTTGCAACACAGTATATGTTACTCTCCAGAATCACCTCAGAAGGATATCATGGCTAATGTTATCAACATTCACTAAGAGGTTCAGGAGTATCAATGGGGTCACACTCCTCTTGTCCCTCTCCCAACTTTGGGCATCATACAGGGTGACCAAGGCTGTTTTCATGACAAAACCAGGTCTGAACCCTGACTGAAATGGACCCAGATCTTCCATCTCATCCAAGAGTAGCTGAAGTTGGTTGGCCACCACCCACTTAAGAGCCATACCTAGGAAAGGGATATTTGCTACTGGCCTACAGTTAAGGTCTTCCAAGCCGAGGCTTTTCTTCAGAAGTGGTCTCACTGCCACCACTTTCAGGAGGCATAGGATGATCAACAAGTTTCTTGGCCCAGCCAGTTGTTCCTTCTTGTTGGTTTTTGTAAGCCAGAAGGGGCAAGAA